GCCTGTAGCGCTGCATGGGGTTATTGCTTCTAAATCTTACTTGTATTACTTGTAAATCTTACAGACCAGCAGACAGGAACTGAAAATATCCCAGTTTAAAAGTGGAATCCAATATAATACATTTTCCTGGACCAAAACAAAAGTATTATCGACGTCCTAACATCATGTATGAATGCTGAAGTGCATACAGGCCCTGTCAAATAAACATGTTCTAATAGTAACATTTACATAAATATGTGCATTTGTTGAGTTTTATATTTTTCCCATTCAAATCTTTGAAAATTAAATTAAAACTTAAAAAGTTATGAACAAGAAGGTGCCTGCAAAGAAAGCTCGTCATTACAAGGAACAAGACAATGTTTTCTTTACTTTGAAATTTTACTGTTTCACAAAGTATACAGCAATGATTTAATCAAAAAAAAGTAGCGAACAGTACAACATGACAGGGCATATTTTTTAAATATAAAATTTTCAGTTATGCCTCACATATACTTGTTTGGAGAATTATCTTATCTGTGTTCTGCATTTCACAAAAGTTTGGGATTAAATTAGGTTTTGCCACCCTCACAGTTCAACTTAATTTCCTGTTTGATCAGGCTGTGAAGAAAGGGCAGGAGTTTATTTAATAGTAGCTCTCTGATAACATTAGTTTAATATTATGAAACTCCTGATGGATCAAGCAGAACAGAGAGTAGCCATTGTGGTAAGTAAACTTTGATTCATGCGTATTAACCTGAATGGCAGGCAGGAAGTCTGTCTGGCCAGATGACAGCTTTTGAAATACACATTTATTCTGCTGCATGCACTGTTTTTTAAACAAACCTGTTCAGATACCAAAGCCTTCAAGTATCAATTTTTAGTTCTCACTTACTCGACAGATGCAAACTGTGTGAAAGTACAGAATGCAGGATTTAAAACCAAAACAAGAATATAATATCTAAATGTTTTAATTTAACAGTTCTCCAAGTTATTGTAAAAAAATCGCCAAAAATAATTGCCTTTTTGTTTTGATAGAGCAGCAAAACTGAACTTTTCATTTTGGTTTAAGAATTTTTTTTTGTTTTACTAGCAGACCAGCAAGCAAACATGGGGTAAGAAGAAAGAAAGGTCTGAAACCTTCAAAATTAAATAAATAATAAACAACGTAAAATCCAAACAAAAACCCTAACTCAAAACCACATTTAAAAAAAAATGAGCAGTTAAACATATTGTTCTGGAGAATAATTTCTCATTACTGAAAAGCCACCATTTCAGGCCAGTCCTTGGATACTGCAATTTTCTGTAACTGCTGGTTTCACTTACTGGGGGAGTCTGGATTCTTTGAAGACTGTGGTTTCACATCAGGAACTGCAACATGATCGTGCTCGCTGTTGCCATCTGACAATCCATCTTCATTGTCTTCAGTCTGTTCGGTCCAAATCTCATCAGTTACCCTGTTGCTATTATTCAAGTCAGGAGCTTCCAGCATTTGGTCCTTCTTATTTTGGACAGCCCAGTGCATTGACTAAAGAAATGCAAAAATAACAAATAAAGAACTAATTCCTGTGCTTCAGGAATGCATCAAATATGCATCAAATCATTCTAAGAGTCTTTGTCCAGTTTCTTCTGTCATGACTTCAGACACTCCAGTGAGCCTGAGTTTAGCTTGAGTGACTTAGAAAATGTCCATTTTCAAAGCTGTCTTTGACTTTAAGGTGACCTTTGAAAGCAAGACTATTTGGAAAGCTTTACTATTAGTCTGTGGAACAACTTCTGTTTGGAAGTGAATGCTTCCAAGGTTGATGGGATACTTCCAGCAAACATTTAAGCTCAGGCATAATGCTTTGGTTGAAAAGACTCTCAAACTTTTCTCATAAGCAGAATTGAGGCAGGCAGAGTTGGTGAGGGAAACCTTCACTCACCTGCCTTAAAATCTGAGCATGTAGACTAGTAACTATCATTCATCCTAATAAGGCAGGGGGTGGAAATCTAACATTATGGAATTAGGATCGACCATGAACATGCTACCAAATTATCTCACTAGCAAAATTAGGAGGGAAAACAACCCTCAAAACATGGGTCTGTCACAAACCACGCCACAAGCCTAGCAGGGCCCCTTCAAAGACCTGTGTGAAGCCCAGCATTCCAAGGAACCTATCTTCTAGATTTTTCAGTAAGCTCTTTATTTAATCAGATAGCATAAAAACCTACCTGATAAGCAATATACCAAAAGGAGATTATACAAAGGTCCTAGCTTTAATCTAACTTTGAAAAGAAATAAAAGGTTCCTACAAAAGCAAAGTGTGCTGAAGCATTTGAACAGCCCTTAACTTACTTAAACTTCACATAATACACATAAAAAGCAGCAACTTGATAAATTCACTCTAAAACTACTAGCCTAAAACCCTCCTGTGAACAGGCTTCTATAGCTCTCCAAATTTTCCTGTGTTTCCTTAACATCCCTAGTGCAGGAATCACTGCACTACTCCCGTCTCCAAAACCCACCACTGCAGCAGCAGTGTTGTAACTCCTCCCCTCACTCCCTGCAACATTTCCTCTGGACCAGCCCTAACCACTCCTCCTCCTGAAGGCCCAAACTTCGACACCACCAACCGTTTTCACAGAATTGCTCAGGGCCTCCCATTGCTGGAACGGAATGGTAATTTTGCTTCGTCGCCAGTAATCGTAACGCGCTCGACTCTCTTCGTTAGTAAGGATCTCCTTAGCTTGCTGTAGCTTCTGGAAATTCTCCACTAGAACACAAACCAAAAAGATACTAAAGCCACTGCTTGTTTTTAAAGAAATTAATTCAGATGTCAAATGGGAGCTGCCAACAGTAGCTTAGAGGAAGCAGAGGAGAGGAGACAGAAGGAGAACTAAGTGACAAAGGTACGTGATTGTTCTGCTTACAGTTTATAGCTGGCTGTAGGATTATTGCACCTTTGGTGGACAACTGATACCCTTTTCAAATGAGGACCAAAATGCTCATTTGTTTATTGGCTTCAAAGTCTCCTAAATTTAAGTTCAGAGAAACTTAGAGAGTACTGCAGGCAAAAAGCACAAGTCATCCCCTGTAGATAACCTTATAAAGGGAAATTAAACTAGACTAATAATGCTTAGAAGGAGCACACATTCACAGCAGAAAGTCAGAGCAAAGCCCAACACCAAGAAAATATGAGGGGGGAAAAAAATGACAAGCAAAAATTGACAAGAAAGAAGAGAAATCTAAATATAGTTCCAATTTAGTAACTTGTGCATCTCACTAGGTATGTTTTGTACACATGCTAAAATGTTCTCTTAAATGCCAGACTGCATGAATGAGAGACCTTATTTTTTCCCTAGAGGGTAATTTTTCATTAAATGGTTACTAAGGATGCAGGTGCATGTTACTATTTGTAGAAGGGTTATAATGATTGAGATTGTATGAGTCACCTATGTTACAGTAATGTATTATTATTCATTTATTCTAGTTTACAAATACAGATTTCTTTTGAAATACACTAAGCCCAAACACTAATCAAAATTGATAACCATAAATCAAACAACAGACAACAGGTTGAAGAGGCAGTTCTATTTAAGTTTCCTTTCTCTAGTGTCACTATTTTTCAACAAATGAGAAGTCTGCTTTAATTAGTCTTTATTGAGCTTTAAGCTGATGAAATAAAAAATACAAAGTAAACTTTAGTACTGTAAAAAGTCATTTAAAGTAAATACAGCATGCTCAGAAAGAAGCATAAAATATTTCTTCTTAACAAAAAAAGCTGCTCTAAAATTTGGCACTTGGCCTCCTTTTTTGCAGTACTTAGTTTCAGTTAATCTGGGGAGAGAGCAGGGGGTTGTGGTGCAGACAGACAGTACCAGGCACTGGAATATTCTCAAGTTTCCCTGCTGCACTCGCCAGAACTGTTCTGCAAAGAACATTGGTTTCATTGGTAGTTGTGCTATAATTTAAATAAGTTAAATATCAGAGACCAAGTTATTGTTAATAGGTGGTAGACTGTCTGCCAAACACCAAATCTGAGGGGGTTCCATGTCAGGGAACCTCAAAGTGAAAAATCCCACCTTGTCAACTCCCTGATGCTAGGCTAGGATGGCACCAATAAGGAAAGTCAGGCCCTGCTGAGAGCTCTCTTCAAGGCACTGAAGTTCAAGTTTCATTAAACATCTGCTGTACTCCCAGCTCTGCTCTCTCAGCAGAGGGTGTGGATGAAGTCAAACTCACACAAGTAGGCAGGCTATGGGGTTCAGTTTATGCTTATGTTGTTCAGTTTGTAGTTAAACTAAAAGGTTTCAAAGGAAAGAATTCAAGGAATTCAAAGGAAAACTTCCATGCATTAATCAAAGTAAGAAGCGTATTTAATGATTCTACAACAAATTTTTGGTGGGAACAATAATTAGAACAACCTTTATTACAAGAATATAAACTATTCAGGCATTGGTGAACACTGATTATCTTGTGGTTCTGAACGGGTAAGATTGTCTCCAGATAACTCAGGTGCTGTTTAGCCATCACAGTTGTGATGAACTGCACGTCTTCATAAATGCAAATGCTAGCTGCTGTTCTGCAAACAGATGGCTACTTATGTGGTGCTGGCTCCTCGTTAGTTCCAGTTATTAAATTACATGAAAAGAAACTAAAGTACATTTAATATGTTCCTAATGGGCTTGTTCATGGAAGCAAATTAACTAGTTGACACAAGTATGGCACTTGAACACCACAGAGCATGGAAGCAGGCCAACTTCAGAGGTCTAGAAAGGGATACACTCCAAGACAACATTTTCTCGATTAAAAGATGTTCTACCATAGAAGTAAAAAAAAAACAAATTTGAAAGTTGTAGAGGAAAGAAGAAAAAAAAGAAATCAAACAAGTGTCTTCCTGCTCTACCACCTAGAAGTGAACAAGGGTTAGAAAAGAATATTGAAGCTTGCTGTTTAAAGTCAATATGCTCAATACACACGACAATTAAAATATATTGGGGGAAAATAATATTTAATAAAGCTTTAAGGACGAATTTAATGTCTTAGTGATGTTAATATAAGACAAAAATAGATTGTTTTTAAACAGGAAAAGAATAAATACCTGCTTTGGGGTTTCCAGGATGTTTGTCAGGATGACATTCAAGGGCTTTAATCTTAAATTCTGCAGTAATTTGTTCAACCTAAACAGAATGTCGACATTTAAAGTGAGTAAATACATACGCACAGAAAAGATTTTCAAGTTTGCATTTTCAAAGGGGTTAAAACAACAAAGAACGCTGAAAGATTTTTTTTTCCTATTAATTTTTACAAGCTTTAGTACAAGCAAAATAGGTAACCACCACCTTATGTTAGTGACACTGCTTATTTGTTTTCCATGCACTCATCTTTATTCTTCTTTTTGTGAAGCTCAATCATCCAATATGGCAAGTTAGCTTCAAGAAAAATGTGTAAAGATGATGTGTGCAAAACCCTTTCCTCACATTTGACCACGTAGGCAAAATGCATTGTGCAAAATGCATGCTTCAGTTGTTCTTCGCTTTGTTTAATCTACTCTGACTTTTAACAAAGTCTCATTGCAAGAAGCAAAGACCTCCTGTACCAGTGAAGATCAGTTTGTGGATTGAGTGGCTTTCTCCATATCCTCATCATTGGAAATTTAGCCAGTACCACACGACTTTTCCATCTTGGATACCACAAAGCTAGATAACTCGCAGTTCACATTCTTCCTGTCAAGTTAATTTTCTGTGGAAAAAAAAAGGTTGGCTTGGAATAGAATAAGTTTATAATCCATACTAGAATATCAGCATGTATTAGTTTATTAGTTAATTACAAGCTTCCACACAGTCTATAGTACCATAAGGTATTACAACCACTGGAAAAACAAAGATTAACAAAGAGTTAACAGAATACAAGAAACCACTGGAGTGGCCATCAGCTTAGATTTTCAGTTTTCAGATTTTTCAAAGTATCTTGCTTCTTACCAGAAGCCAAAATTTATTTGTACCTTTCCAGTACGGCTTAAGCTTTCACAACAATTTGCCCTAAGACATTAGTTAGCTACTATTCTTTCCCATGGTAGAAAGGCTGTCCATATAACTTCCACATCCTTCAAAGCCTGATATCCATATACAATTTAAGTTATTTATTTCAAAATTAAGGCTCATGACCTTTTTTCTTTAGAATAAAATTACAGTTCATTCAACTAGCTGGCCAAATGTTGTTGTCATATGCTGGAAAAAATGTGGTCTACAGTGGTATTTTAAGAATTCTTTACTTTTTGCTCTTCTCAGTAACTTCTTCCAGAGGGACAGATACAGGGTGGTGCATTTCCAGTCAGTAAGACACTTACAAATATATACATTGTACAAAAATTTATACATTGTTCAGAGAAGTTGTTGAAACTGGTTACTAGCTAGCGAGCATCTCTAAAACCTACATAACTTTTACATACAGTAGCAGAGGGGCAGTGTGGAAGTCTTCAGTTTAAAAAATAAATCAGTAGAAGAGAAGGTTTATAGGAAGTTTATACAAAATACATGACATTTATATGAAATGTTCAGTGAGATGTTTTACCAGGAAAGGCATTCAATACCCACTATATATAAGTAACACTGTTCTTGGAAGAAAGGTGTAGATTAAATCTCCCCCCTTCATCTCAAGTCTGAAGATTAATTATGTGTCCATGAGCTCAATTGTACAAGAAGCCTAGAATGAACATGGGTGATTACTTGAATACAGGGAAAATCTGTAGAAATTGAGACTACTTGTGCTTAAATTTGACTAGGTCAGTTCAAGACCAAAATTATTCAGTACTTTAGATAAAAGTACTGCAGCCGGGAATGTGCTGTATGTGCCTAAAGCAGCCTGTGCTGCTGCAAATACTTGACTGCGCATACGAAGTAATGTGATTGCAAAACACCTGTAATGCTTCAAATCGCTGTTAAGTGATAGAAGTAGCTGCATGCATCATCCTGAGGGAAGGCAATCATGGCGTTCAGTCAACCTGTGATCACAGTTCCTACTGCCATGTCAAAAACAATCCAGTAACATCAGGTGCTTCTCTCAAAAATCTACACTTGATAGATTATTTTTCAGGACCCATCAGCATTTATTCCATCTTTTTAATTTCATTTTGAAGCAGTTTTAAAAATCATTATTATATGTACTTGAACTATTCATTGATTGCTAAGCCCTTAAGGAATCCTGCTCAGTGGATGAGGGAAAGGCTGTAGATATTGTCTACCTGGACTTTAGCAAGGCCTTTGATGCTGTTACCCACAGCACCCTCCTGGAGAGGCTGGCTGTGCACAGCTGAGACAGGCATACACGTCACTGGGTACAACACTGGCTGGATGGCTAAGCTCAAAGAGTTGTGGTGAATGGAGTTAAATCCAGCTGGCAGCCAGTCACTAGTGGTGTTCCCCAGGGCTCAGCCCTGCAGCCTCTTTCTGTTTAATGTCTTTATCGGTGACATGGATGAGGGAATTGAGTGCACACTTGGTAAGTTTGCGGATGACACTAAGATAGGTGAGAGTGTTGATCTGCCTGAGAGTAGGAAGGCTCTACAGAGGGACCTGGATAGGCTGAATCCATGGGCTGAGGCCAATTGCATGAGGTTCAACAAGGCCAAGTGCCGGGTCCAGCACGCGGGTCACAACAACCCCATGCAGCGCTACAGGCTTGGGGATGAGTGGCTGGAGCTGCCAGGCAGAAAAGGACCTGGGGGTGTTGATTGACAGTCAGATGAATATGAGCTGACAGTGTGCCCAGGTGACCATGAAGGCCAACAGCATCCTGGCTTTTATCAGGAACAGTGTGGCCAGCAGGAGCAGGGAAGTGATCCTTCCCCTTTACTTGGCACTGGTAAGACTGCATGTTGAATACTGTGTTCAGTTTTGGGCCCCTCCCTACAAGATGGACATCAAGATGATGGAGCACGTTCAGAGAAGGGCCACAAAGCTGGTGAAGGGTTTAGAGCACAAGTCTTATGAGGAGCAGCTGAGACAGCTGGGGTTGTTTAGTCTGGAGAAGAGGAGACTAAGGGGAGACCTTATTGCTCTCTAAACTACCTGAAAGTAGGTTGTAGCGAGGTGTAGTAGAGGTCAGTCTGTTCGCCCTGGTAGCTAGTGATAGGACAAAGGGAAATGGCCACAAGCTGCACCAGGGGAGGTTTAGGTTGGATATTAGGAGGAATTTCTTTACTGAAAGGGTTGTCAAGCACTGGAACAGGCTGCCCAGGGAAGTGGTAGAGTCACCATCCCTGGAGGTGTTTAAAAGACGAGTGGATGTCATGCTTAGGGTCATGATCTATTGGTGGACTTAGTAGGGCTGGATTGATGGTTGGACTTGATGATCTTACAGGTCTTATCCAACTGAAACCATTCTATGGTTCTATTAATTAGTGTGAGGTAGACAATGAGAAACAGCATTTGTGAAACAAGTCTACATAGAAACTTTAACACTGCCCTCTGCTGGGATGACTTTGAGGGGCTATCTCCGGAACAGATTTACATTGCCTTCTGAAATAGATCGAAGATGCTTACTCGTGTGCTTTCAGTGACAGAAAAGACAGAGGTATTTCCCCAGCATTCGGCCACTAGGACAGATGAGAGCATCTGATTAAATTTACTGAGCAAAATATAGCTTTTATCTGCATTGAATATATCCTTAGTTACAGCAGAGCAATCAAAACTCCCTTTCCAAAATGGGAACCCAGTCCCATTTAGTATAGCAGTTAGATTAAAAATATTAGCATACAAATAGACTACCCAAAAAATGTTAGATGGACAACTTTAGGAAGAAGAACACTTGTTTTATCTACAAATCATTCAACCATTGCTTAGCTAGATCACACTCTAAAGTATGTATCTGCTACCAAGACAAGCTAGTAAAACTGGTATTTGGGCATCATTAAAATTAGCATTTAAAAATCACTAATATGACAAATGAGAAATGGATTTTTCTTTTTCCTCCCAACCAATGATTCATTTTTTAAAAAATTCTTAATATGTATAAAACTTCAGAAACTAGATAGCATTATAAGTGATCTACAGCTATGAAGTGTCATTGGTTTTGCCACATATATATCGCTTTTTTCATCTTTTAAAGATGAAAATATATTCCAAAATATTATTTAGATGTTGTCAAATTTATGCAGTTGGCTCATGACTCTTAACCATATCACATGTTGAACTAAACTAATAAACCATTATTCCAGTTGTATCTATAATACAATCTTGTTTTATAAAACCCTTGTAAAATAAACCTTATTCTAGCATCCTAACGTTGGTATACAGATCAGAAAAATGAGCTTTGCAAAGGGAGATACTAGAAGATAAAAGTAGCAAGAAAGCAGGTTCACAATGCATTTCAAGTAGTCCTGCCTGTAGAGATAAACAACTTCAAATCCCCCCTGTAGCCAGACGAGCACATTCAACATGTTATTCACTGCCAAAGGAGGTGGGGAAGGCTCTTACCGTAGATAGTTCATCGCATCCTAGCAAGCTGTAGTAATCTTCCAAGTCATCCGGTCTGCAGTTCAAAATTGCATTCATCTGGACTGGTCCTGCGGGCTTTTTCAACCCAAGGCACAGAGGATGTAAAAGACAGTATCGATACGAAGCTCACACAGGAGTTTAAAAGTAGCCCAGGGATTGGCAGTTTGCACTCAAGCCTACAGCTCACTCCAGTGCTTTTTAACACTGGCAGCTGACACACATGAATTTTCTTGAGTTCTCAGCCTGCCATTGGTCCCCGCAGGATGCCAATCCAGTTGCACAAACCTGCTGACGGCAGTGCTCCCTGGGATTTGTAGTTGCCAAAGTCACTTCAACATTAAGCTCTGAATCTCTTCCAGCCTGAAGAGAGTTCTGGACACTCACTAAAATCTAGCTGTATTGAAGATTTAGATCATGCCAGCGCATCTATAGCCACTTAAAATCGGGCACATACTTAAAGGCTTTCCTGCACCAGAGCTTACATATACTAAAATCTATTTTCTACTTCATTTTTAATTGCAACTTTTGCCACAGTCCTTGACGAGGGGATTATATGGGTAATTATATAAAAGAGTAAGGATTACTTCCAATATAATGATTACAACACTGCAGGCTTTTGAGAATGAAGTACTGACCTTACCAAAGCCTCTCAGACTTCTGTCGGTCAATTCAACACGAAGGGGTGAATCTTTACTGTTTGAAGGCTACCTAGGATACATACATTTCTTTCTTCAAAAACAAATAGCTCTTGTACATTAGTTGCATGTCTGACAAAATGAAGACTATGAAAACACAACATTAAATACTTATTGTCTACTATCACGTTAAATAGAGGCTTTCTCATGCTAACTCACATTCAGATTGTGTCTTTAAGGTCTGTGTTGTGCACAAAATGCAATCCTTGTAAAAGTCATTTTACATTGAAATGAAACATCTTTCATTTTGAACTGTGATTAATGATCAAGGCCTTCGTCCAACAAAGACTGCAGACATGTTTAGCTGTAGTGTCTCCTCCGATCTATTTATTTCAAAAGATTACTTCCTAGATATAATACCACTTGCTGAAGTCTTTCCTCTGGAGCCTAAGGAGCTCAGTTTTTATTTTCCCCATCTATGCAAAAGCTTTGTAATCCAAGATGTTTAAATATTGCTGATTCTTTAAACTAACACTTCCAAAGAGATGCCTCGAATAGTTACACGATTTTAGATGCAGTGACCTAGCAGGAGAGTCTGTGCAGAAGACATACACAGGGTGTCACCAAGGCTACAGCAGCTGTCTCTCAACCAGTGAAGGACCATTCAGTGGCCATTCAGAACTGTTTGTAAAATACTGAATATACAATTCCTGCATTTACAAGTGCTTTATTTTATTAGCTATATTACTAATCTTCTGACATTATCTACATATAGTAGCCTTCCAGTACTTTCTCTTCAATGTTGTATTATTAGAAAGTCCCTATTTTTACTGTATGTTCATGTAGTCTATTAAGATTTAAAAATACATAAAGTACATGAAAAGCAGAAGCAAAAACGTTAAATAGCAAAGCATAAGTCTCAGTGAAACCATTTAATGTTAGAAAACACTACTACCATATTTCTCTGAGTAAATAAAACAACAGATAGACTTTTTCAAAGTAGAAGAATTAGCAATTACAAATTTCTCCCTCTCCCCCATTCATAACTTAATAGTAAACCAGAAAAGTATAGGAAAGAAAGTGTTTTAGCAAGAGAGCATGTCAATATTTAAATAGATTGTGGGAGGATAAAAAACAAACAGCTGTCCCTCTTCCCAACAGCACTCCTGACATACTGTCCACGTATTGCTTGCATATTTGCATAAGGTGAAAGGGAAGGCTCTTTAACCCTTTTCCCTTCCGGCTTTCAGTGGCTGTTTCTGTGCTGCAAGGCAAGCTGCAGGTCCCAGAGCTGCATTCAGACAACAAAACCCTGAGACTTGGAAGCTGCTCGTTCACAGGGAATTTGCTCACTGAGGCCTTGGTCCCATCTACACTCTCTCTATTCGGACCAAATAAAGAGGAGCTTTGATTCAAACTGCAACAGAGACCATATTTGTGTCCCTCCTCTCAGAGACTGCCAGTGCTGGAAGGGTCCCGTAGTACCTGAAGGTATCTGAAGGTAGTATCTGAAAGTTTACATGTGGAGGACACAACATACAGATAATGAATAATCACTGTGTCTTTTTACTGCTCCTACTCAGTTCAGTGGGACAACTCACATAGCAAAGCACCAGCCAAGGGGGATGCGGGGGCACAAGAACCCACATGTAATGCACAGAAAAGAATACAAAGGTTGCCTTCAGGATATGAACTTTATTTGATAGTCAAAGCACAGCAGATGGCTTATGTGTCTGCACATGTTTTGGTTAGTGTTGCCCAGAATGTACAAACAGTACTGAAGGTGAGGAAATCTCATATTTGTTCTCTGTACCCAACCACAACCAAAACGTTTCTATTCATTTCTAACAGATTATCAACAATTTTGTTTGTTTAGAGTCAAAAGTGAAACTAAATTCTGGTTCAGTATAACAAGTGGTTTACCAAGAGCTTGCAAAAGTCATAAATGGCCCTTTAAATAAAACAGCAAGATCTGGAGGTGTGTCTTTTATTTTCTTTCCATAAAATACATCAAGTCTTCAAGCACTAGTTCTTCTCAACTGACCTTAGTTGTTTTCCTTCCTGAGGGCAGAGCACACATGTTCAAGAAGTTCAAGGCACAACACAACTTAAATGAGTTTTGCATTTCATCCTTGTCCCAACGCATGCTCAGAGCTGCAGAAATAGAAGAGGACCTAAGCACTAACCAAACTGACTTCCAAATGTAGGGACAACTACTGCACTAGTATCATTAACATGTAAAAATACTTGCAGTATTAGAGCCAGCTTTAGGATCCTTGAATTGTTTCCTCACCAGTACCATCACAGCAAGCTTTAGATCATACACCTACAGGACTTACACGTTTTCTTCCTCAGAACACAGTCTTCACATAAACAAGCGCCAAAACAACAATATTAAAGTCACATCTCTCCTTTACACATTGACCAAAGCATCTTGCACGTGCTTTTTAAGAAATCTCAAGCATGCCTCAGCTTCAGTGAGGAAAAAGAATGCTTGCGTACAAATTTGCAGAGAATCATTAAAAAGTTGTTCTGATTCACAGCCGGTTACTTCACAGCTTTTTTTTGAGAAATAGGTAAAGTGTGAGAAACGGCATGTACATCTTCTTAGGAGTTTTTAAAACTTGAAAGAACCAGAAAAAAAATCCCCCCCCCCATACAAATACATATACCACCTATAAAATCAGTTATCTATAAAATCATCCCTTTTGAAGCCAAAATCCACATATCAACAATTTTAACACAAAGGGTTTTTTTAAAGTTGTTGTTACCAAGGCCTGCAAGGAAGAAATTGCACCTAATATTGATCTTGCCACTAAACTTAGGGATTCAGTTGTATTAAATTCACTTAAACTACTCTGTAAATAGTTTGCAGTGTTAAGCAGCAACATTAAACAAAACAATATTTAAATTTATACCCATGAAGTTTAGAGCCAAACTTCTATGTTGGTAGAAGTCCTGGGAAAGTGGCTGAGTTCTGTCCAGACAAGACTTCCAGGCAGACTCTGGGTCTAAGAAAGCCCATGTGTGGTACCCCTGTGTTTACTGTACCGTGATGTTCCACAATTCAGCATCGAGGTTGGCCCCTAAAGATTGCCTCTACAATGTACATAACAGAAGAGAAAACCACAGGTCACGGCAGCTGCTAGCTGCACACATGGCACCAGGGAACGCTGATGTGGAAAGCATGGATTTGTGAATGGCGTTAGAGAAAAACCCAGCTCTTGCAATTGGCAATCGGGTCTCTCATGCACCACATAGGCTTCATTCTCACAACAGCCGTTGCTCTGATGGGTGCTGAACCCCTCATAAAAAAACGTCCTGTAGCTCAGGAGTGCAAATACTACGGCAACCCATTTAAGCATCCCTACCAAAAGCTCAACTTGTGGGTGCAAGGCACTTCCCTGACGGCAATCCAGCAGAAGCTGTAATCCTGTAAATACTTCTTTTCTTACCGTCAGCTCTGTTGTGCGTTTACAGAAAACGAGGAGCCGCTACGAACCTCTCTGTAACACTACCTGACCGGCAAGGGAGCTCGCAGGGAGGCTGGTACGAGTTCTCCCCAGCCGGTTTCACCTCACCAAGAGCACCAGGTACAACCACACGGCAGCGCAACGCAGTGGCAGTGGCTTGCGACGGGCAGCCTGCGCCGGGAACCCCCGTCAGCTCCTGGGGAAGGTGAGTTCTCTACCTGATATTGCGAATACCATTAGAGAGACCCGAGGGCTTTTTCAAC